AGGGGATTTGCAAGAAATGGGGCAGGGGCTCGCAGTAGAGTTTGGAGAGTTTAGAGTGATGGTTTTTGCGATGACTTAGAACACTGTGTATCTAGCTCCGGATATGAGAAATTAACCTTTGGGACTGGAACGAGACTTACCATTGTACCCAGTAAGTTCTTCATCATTGGTTAGGAAATCAGCCTGCATAAGATTCTGGGGGGTCGTAGTAGACATGTAGGCTTAGAGAATTTCCATCTGTCCTTGTTCATAACTGGTAGAGGCAGGTGGCAGCCAAATATCTAAGTTTTCCAGGGGAACTCCAGTCCTATTTAATTCAAAACTAGAAAATATGATTCACAATTCTGTTTTTGCTGCTACCATCAAGTGCTAATGTGACATGTGAAGAGAATTCAGGCATAATTACTGCATCTTCACTGTTATCTTGTGTGATAAGTTTAACTTTGAGTACCGCAAGTGTTTGGAAGAAAGGGTAGACACATAGAATATCAAAGAGACGAGCAAACCAGGAGACCCAGAAGGCGGGCAGACAGAATGTCGGGCAGTATAATTTTACAAAACTAATCCAGAGTTGTGTCTGTCTCTGCAAATGGCAAGGTATCTGGAAAGGTGCTAAGTGCTAATGTTCTGGGTGGGGCAGGATTATCTAAATAGAAGACTAAACACTGATCTCAGGGGGAAAGTTTGCACTTGAAAATCTCTGGGTGGTTTTTTGTCTTATTTTTCCAATGAAGTTTAGTGTGGCAGCACATCTGCATTTAGTTAATTACAATTTGGGTGAGGCACAGAATTAACTGTTAAAAACAACTATGTCTGAGATTAGGTAGATAGATAGAACTGAATGTATATACATAGGGTAGAAGAATGTGAGAAACATGGGCAGATAGATTTTTTGCACCTGCAATTAAACGCTATGGAAAATTTGAATATGTTCACTTTGTAACCAAAGGCAACCACACAAAATGGAATGGAAAGCATACTTGCAAGAGCAAGAACTGGAGGTATGGAACCTTTCTATCCTAACCACTCAGTTACCTAGAAGAATCTTTTTTTCTTTTTTGCTGCATTAGAAATTAAAGGCATGAGTGTTGAGGATTTGGGTAGGTCAGGCTTTTATAATGACAATTACATTACAAAGCACCTCTCAGCTAGGCTGGATAAAGCACTTTTAAACATCAAAGTCTTTTTCTTCTCTCTGGATAAGATAGAAAAATAGTGTCTCCTCACTCTGTATCTAGATACAGGGAGCTCAGAGCTCCAGACTTACAAAGTGAGACAGCAACAGAGCTGAGCTGTGGGACCTGGGGACCCAGTGACGGCCAGTCTGCTCCCTCGCACAGGTGCTATAGTAGCCATAACCCAGGGAACTGTCCCCACGTGAGAACGTAATACCTGCAGGGAAAATTCCACTTCCACTAAGAGCAGATCAGCATAAGAATGCCTTATCCAGCAAGGGGCAGTCAGAGGGGCTCTAAACCAAATCAGAGCCCCAAATATTTGAAAACTTGATGCGGAAGCCAGCTATAATAAATTTGCTTTCCAAGCAGTGCTTCCAGAAGCTGTTAGTGGTTGGTAGTTGCTAAGGGTTTTGAAAGTAGAGGACATCACAGCAGAGTGGAATTATTTGGAACAGCGGGCTATGATTAGAATTAATGAGATGTAGGAAAATCCTGGCTAGATGACTAGAAAAGTCCTGAAAGAAAAGATACAGTAAACCTTGGGGGAGTTGTAGCATTTATCCTAGTCCAAGCAGCAAAGAGCAGACACAAGGCAAATTCCAATAAACAATCGGCCTTTTTACTTTTATAAGTTTCTGCAATTATTACTATGTCTTCAGCCTCTTGGCCGAATATCAACAGGTCCTAAATGCAAAGTGGAACAGTCCTCTGTTTCCAGAGCCAAGTAACTCAGCCCCGCCCCACACACCATCCATGCTCAAGCACCGTTTTTGTAGAGGAGTTTGATGCTGTGTGAACTATGGAAACCAGCTGGTCTTTGGCTCAGGAACCATTCTGAGAGTCAAGCCTTGTGAGTATAAAACACTCGAGTCTCAGTCTGGGTTTCATTGCATATTAAGTAAACTTTTTCTGGCAGAGAAGTATTTGATTCTAAAGAAAGGAAAAGTAAGTTTTCAGGTGCAACACAAGCATTTCATTAGTGTGATTCATTAAGAATTTCCATGTGTTGCCTTTGAGGTGTTAATCACATCAGTTCACTGGTGAGATCCACAGTTTTAAAATTGAGTTAAATTTGAAAAAAAAGTCAGCATCTCTGTGGGCCACAGTGCTTGCTGTTTGGGTGTCTAGACTTCCAAAATGGAAATCTCAATCTGTAGTTTTGAGCTTGGAGATTTATCCCGAGCCTGTGGCTTAGAGATGTGGAAGAAAAGCCACATACTGCTGGGCTTTGTAGGTCATTTCTAGGATCAGTGTCATGAAAAAGCCTGGGTAGACAGGTTGGTGAGGAGACACTGGTGACAGGTGTCTGCCCTGTTTCTGTAAAGCTGTTGACAGCAGTGAGAAGAAAGGCAGCGGAGACAAGCTGACTTTTGGGACCAGGACTCGTTTAGCAGTTAGGCCCAGTAAGTCTAAGCAGAAAGTAAGATCTTTATGTCTTTTTCTATTATTTGTTCTAGCCTGACATTTGAGTTGTGTTCCTTTGGATTCCAGATGCACAGACCACAGTGTCTTTTCATGCTCCTCTTAATATTTGTGGCTAGGGGCTCTCTATTGTACCCATCTCTCCTACATGAGGGTCCTGTGGCCAGGTCCACACTCATAAAGAAGCCGCCAGTGATACAGTTGGTTGGTAGTGTGTCAAGAAACTCCAGTTGTCATCTCCAGGGCCCTTACTCTGGTTATGTGTGTTTCAAGCTTCTATGTCAGCAACAGAGGAGAGGGAGAAATGACCAGTAGCATTGACCAGGGCTATTAGCTGTACCTGGTGTCCATGGGTTTTAGAGCAGCTGTGGAGGTTCTGGGAGCTTCAGAGCATGAGTTTCTGGCAGAGGAGTTTATGTAAAGGGTTGGCCCAGAGTGCATATTCAGGAGGAGGTACTGGCAAACTCACCTTTGGCAAAGGGACTCGTCTGATCATCCAGCCCTGTAAGTGCCTTTGCCTGGGAGATGGGGTTCAAAATGCAGTCCTCATGGGGACATTTCTAAATTTTGGCTCATGTGCTTCTGGTGCCACTACCATTGTTGGCACTGTCCTAAGTATATGGAAGGTTTTGAGCCATGTAGATGAAGGAGGTGGTGCAGTTTGTTTCTTTAGAGGACTCCTGAGATCTGTCCTTTGGCAACTGTGTTTGAGTAGGAGTCTATCATCGGAAAGTCTGGGCACCAGCAGACAAAGGATACGAGCTTAGGATGGGTCACGAAAATATGCCGGCCACTTTGCCAGCAGCACCTTTGCAACAAAAATTGCATCCATAGGAAACGTGGAAATGGCTGTGTAGATAGAGATTTGGCCATCTCTCCTTTTCTGTCTTTGTACCCTCTTCTCTGCCTGACTTAGGGACTTTAGTACAGTTATTAATCATTTTATTTCTCGGCCCCATCACTCATCAAGTATGACAAGAGAAAGGCCAAAGAATTCAATTCTCAATGTCTTCAGAGTTGAACTTGACAACTTCCCAGCCTTAACCATCTAGTCAGCACCCCGTGATCAACTGAGGTCAAAGAGAGCAACCAGCTGGTATTGTTAGTCAAGCGAGTATCTGGCCAGAGCCCTGCTGCCCTCATAGGAATTAATACTGTGGAGTTTGGGAAAGGGAGATGAGTCCCTGAGGGCTCACCAAGGCTGCCCATCTGGGAGAGGGCATGGGGAGAGTTCTGAGTGGGGAAGGGAAGACCAGATGGAAAGTCAAGCAGCAGGTTTCTGTTATGAGGCATCTCACAGTGTAAACACTGGCACTGGCGGTAAACTCACCTTTGGGACTGGAACAAGACTTCAAGTCACCCTTGGTAGGTAACAGAAACCATGAGGTAACTTAACTGTGTGTTCCTTTAAAACGGGATACTGAAGAGGGGATATCCTGGCTAGACGTAGTCCTTCCTTCCTTCCATGGGCGGTGATCTCATTGAGGATACATACCTGCATTCAGTCAGTTCTCGTGCTATTTTTGAACCTATTACAGATGCTTTCCTTTCCACCTGTGAAAATAGAACCTCTCTGCTCAAGCTTCTTCAGTCTTTATTACCATGTGTGTGTTTCCTTTAGAGCGGTGGTTTGGGAATTAATTTATCATCAGGACTTTGTCACTCTGGGCAGCAGAATGAAAGGGCTCTCAAATAGAGAACAGAGAGTCCTGAATACTTGGATAACTTTTCAGGAGTGATATGTGTAAATGGGATGAAGTAGGCTAGAATGACCTCCTAATGACTGTTTTGGAGACATACTAAGGAAACTTGCTTAACATCCTACACCCTTAACTTGTTAAAACACTGGTGAAGTAAAATCCAAACCTTGACCCTCTAAGAACATAAACAAATGCCAACCCCTCCCCCCTAAAGCATTGCCATGTTTCATTATGTGCAATTATGAAATGAATACATGATCATTTTTATGAAATTACATAGATGAGTAGTTTGAGTATTTTGAACCCGTGAGTAAGATGCAAATCATAGAAGTTCTGGAGCACCTCACCAGGCAGTTCCTCATACAAAGTGGTCCCTGAAGACAAATAGTGTACCTGGGCATGATTTGTTTGCCATGTTGGTTTATGCACCATTCAGGGACCTGTTTGAAAGCTGATTATGTCTCAGTGTGCCAATTTGGGGTCTCAATTAACTGTGTTCAGTGCACTGAAAAGTGCCCGTGTTTACAATCTAGAAGCATGACAAAATGGCCCCATTCCCGTAGGAAAAAGAGACTGGGACTGTGTGTGGTGTGACACTGTCAGTGCCACTCTGCCTTGTCTCTGCCATGCTGGGACTGGCTCCAAGATTTCCCCAGGAGGTTTTTGTTAGAGCATGTATTGCTGTGACAATAACAATGACCTGCGCTTTGGAGCAGGGACCAGACTGACAGTAAAACCAAGTAAGTTGGGGGAATTGGTCAATCTTAAAAGCTGACCGGAGTGAGTAGTGGTGCTGTTCTGGGCAGTTTCTGTGGGATTAAGACACTGCCACTCCCAGGAGATCTAAGCACCTGGTTTCTTTGTGCCTCAGACCCTGGGCTGGTTGGAATTCTGTGAGTTGAAGAATTCTGGCAATCCTAAGGATTAGGTCAAGAAGAAGCAGAAAATTTCACTGGTTTCTTCATTGGCTCTGGATATATAAAAATGCTAAATATAAGCAAGGCATGGTGACTCACACCTGTAATATTAGCACTTTGGGAGGCTGAGACAGGAGGACCCCTTGAGGTCAGAAGTTCGAGACCAGCCTGGCCAACATGGCAAAAGTCTGTCTCTACTAGAAATACAAAAATTTGCCGGACATAGGGCACATCCTGTAATCCCAGATACTTGGGAGGCTGAGGCAGGAGAATCACTTGAACCCAGGAGTTGGAGGCTGCAGTGAGCCGAGATGGTGCCACTGCACTCCAGCCTGGGCAACAGAGTGCGACTCCATCTCAAAAAAAATGCTAAATGTAATATGTAAAACCCATATTTTGTGATAAGACAAAATTAAAAGACCTAACAACTCAAAAATCAGATTTTCCTTAATAAGAACCCCTCCACACCAAAAGAAGTACAACCAGCTCTTTTGTTGGTTTTGTTTTTTTAATTATTCTTTGGAATAACTATGGCTGAGAAAGTGGCATGATGCTCCTGGTCCCTAAAATAGCCACTGGGACCCCGATGTTGACCTCCTGTGCTGGGTGGGATGGCTCTGCCCAACCTTGCTATTGTCCTCCTGTGCCTCTGGCATGAGCATTCTGTCAGAACCCAGTGTTCTAAGAACAAAACAGGGGATTTAAGATCAAGTTCAGATCTATTCACACAGCCAGGTATTAATTTTAGAGAACTGTCCTGACCTGCAAAGGAACTGGGAATGGAGGCTGCAAGGTGGGGAGACTTCCACTAGAGGGGAAGGTGATCTCACTTGCTCAGTCTCCCTCTCCATCCTTCCCGTCTGTTGATTATTGTAAAGCCCCATAGGACTGTGTGAATTATGGAGGAAGCCAACAAAAACTCATCTTTGGAAAAGGCACTACACTCTCTGTTAAACCAAGTAAGTGTTTGGGGATTCAAAGACTATATCAGTAAGTGCAACTAAAGTACAATGCAGAGTGAGTGAGAAGAGACTTACCAACTCCTTTCTCTCTGATGTCTTCCCCCACCCCTTCACCCTTGAATCCCACAGAATTTCTCCTGTCCATGCCCCTGGCTGTTCCCAGTCCAGACCAGCATGTCCTTCTGCTGGACATAGGAAAACTCCAGACTTCATAGTATGTCACAGGGCCCCCTCCCTCAGATGGCAGATCTCAATGTTGATCACTCACATCACTGTGGGGAGTGGCAACCTTGTCAGAAATGGCCTAATGGAAGAGGGAAGCTTTATTTACACCATCAAAGGCCCATGGATGACCCACAATCTGTGTGACTGCTGTGTGATTGGTTTTCAGACATTAGCTTTAATAGGTATCATAGGAGAAGGGACAGGGTGGCTACTGCAAGGGGTTTTTTGTTTAGGGAGAACGCACTGTGGAACTCAAACTCCGGCTATGCACTCAACTTTGGCAAAGGCACCTCGCTGTTGGTCACACCCCGTGAGTTCTTGTGGTTTTCTAATTGTCCTTTCTGGAAAGAAATCCAATGGGACCTGTTGAAACACAGCTGAATTTAATTGCTTTGCTTAGTATGTAGTTGTTAACTATGTCTGATGTGTGAGCAAGATATGAATACATGTTTCCCTGGAGGCTGAATTTGGTTATCAGGTCTCGGGGCAGTTTGATAAACTGTACTAATACTGCAATCAGTGTTTTTCAAAGGTCCACAAAGCAAATTGTGGCTTTGAGAAAGCAGAGATAAGAAGCAAAGCTTTGTGATAGGACGCTACCAAAGCAGTGGCATAGCCAAGGAAATGCGTCCACAACAGATAAGTAGCGAGGACCCAGTTGAGCTGATGCTTGTGTCGTTTGGTAGAATTGAGAAATAAGGTGAGTGGGTTGGGCACGGTGGCTTATGCCTGTAATTCCAGCACTTTGGGAGGCCAAGTCAGGTGGATCACTTGAGATCAGGAGTCCAAGACCAGCCTGGCCAATATGGTGAAACCCCATGTCTATTAAAAATACAAAAATTGCCAGGCATGGTGGTGGGCACCTGTAATCCCAGCTACGTGGGAAGCTAAGGCAGGAAAATCACTTGAACCCAGGAGGCGGAGGTTGCAGTGAACTGAGATCGTGCCACTGCATTTCAGCCTGGGCGATAGAGCAAGACTCTGTCTCAAAAAAAAAAAAAAAAAAAAAAAGGAAAGGAAAACAGGAAAATAAGGCAAGTGGACTGAGGATTCAAGTGAAGGGAAGGCAGCAGGAGTTACAAGCTTAGCATGGCTTTCTTCCTCTGAGAGAGTAGTGGAATAATGTAACTTTCTGTAGAGAGAGAACAGCCCTTAATGTGTCACATCAGTGGGCTTGCTTCTCTTTGGATAGTCCCCTTCCTCACTGTAGGGACAAAGCAGGTCCACACATGGACTTCACCCCCTTATCTAGGCTGGCCAAGTCAACCCTATGGGAGGGGCAGAGAATCCTACTACTGTGGAGGGCCTCCCCACGTCCACTAGATTATCTGTAATAAAGCAGAATGTTTATCCGAGTTGCGAAACTGTCGGAGAGGGTAATCGAGATGGATTCTAAAAAGCAATATTGAAAATGTACAGGTTGTCTCCACACTTGCAGAGTTCAGTGTGTTTTTTTGATGTTGGGTTTTTTTTCCTGTTAGAATTACAGAAACGGGTGCTTTCCTGCAGGCACACTATTTGCAAAAATGTCTGCCATCTCACATTTTGGTAGTATTTCATCAATAATCCTCTGCACACAAACCAGCTGTGACAATAAGGTAATGGGGCTGATTTGTTAACAAATCGAGTTTATACATTTCAATGAGTGGCCCAGTCAAAGCACTCAGCTTGAAGCCTCTAACACTGCCCATCACTCGCTCCCTCATTGAAATCACCCTCAAAGGGCAAAACATTTTCTTTCTGTACAAAAAAGAAAATTTTTTTTCACAATGTTTTTATAAAACATTTTCTTTTTCATAATGACTTTATATTTTAAAGGTAGATTTCACTTTTATTGATAATCAAAATCCTTTCAGAACCAAGACTAATATAGAGGAGGGAATCGACTAGTTGCTGATACTGTTTTGGATCCAAAATAGATGTAACTATAAAATAATGTCATGGGTTTGTTTGTGTGGCTCATAAACTGGCTCTCAGGGGGAATCCTAGACAGAATATTTCAGAGGGTTCAACAGCCATTTAGATGTTTAATTCCTTTTATGTTCACTAAATCAGCCTCTTTAATAAGCACACACAAAGATAGCATGAGATTGAAGAAGTTTTGCAAACTTGGACCCAATAGAAACAGTGAAGATTTTCTGTATGAATTGAAATATAATCCCAAATAAATTCATTTTAGAAAGATATCAGGTCAAGGCCTTTCAATGGGGAAAGTGCCTATGATGCCCTATTTATTCATGGAGAGTAAAGCTGCTTCCATAAAAAGAAGCTGCTTCCTTATGTTGGTTTATGTAGAGACACATAACACTGTGACTACCACAGGAACCAACAAATACATCTTTGGAGCAGGCACAAGGCTGAAGGTTTTAGCAAGTGAGTATTACAGACAAGACAGGCTTTATTTTAAAGGTTGCTGACGTTCGTGTTTGAGGGACAAGGAGAGGTAGGACAAGGGGAGTATCCGTGTAAACTGTGCAAGCTAAAATCACTGCTATCTGAGGTGGCAATTCTGGGTCCCTTTACTCTGGACAGCAAGGGTGAGGGAGAGTTCTGAAGATCACCATGATGGACTCACTGCTGATTTCATAAGAATTGTATCCAACATTAGAAAAATGTTCATGACTTGAAGACCTTGAGAAACTCCTGTAAACACAACAGGAGTTCTGTGTTCTTTATTCTCTTCTTTTAAAACTATGTCACTTTACATTTTCACTCACTTTTCTACCTCTTTTTGTGTCTCTCTTCTCTGTGCAGCTCAGTGCATCATCTGGGCATTCATATTTTGAGAAATCATCTCGAGGGGAAATCATGTCCAGATCCCAGCATGTCACTCAAAGCTCTCTAAAATCTGGGCCCTTTCTGTTCTCTAAATTTATTTCTAGCAATTCCCTTTCATGAATGTTCTGCTCCAGGAAAACTAGGCATCTGCCTCCCTTGAATATTTATACATGCCCACACCTATACCTCGTGTTCATACATCAGATATCCTGGATCTACCACCTAAAATAGGCTTGCACAGGTGACAAAATTTGGTCTCACCATCGCTTAGCCTTGAGATCCAGCACAGGCATCACCAGACTTAGTTTCATAGGAAGAGTGTGAAAAATTATATCATTTTTTAATTAAGCAGGCCAAGGTAAGAGATCCATCAAAGAAGCAAAGTAAGGAGAGAGATGGTGTCTGTAATTGGTTTGGAAAGGAGAGATCTGTCCCTGAAATAACACTTATATAATCCAAGTAGGAGATTTATAGGCCGTGTGTTTCTTGATTTTCCTTCAGAGTGGTCCGTAACGTCAGTTGTTAAGCCCCTGGTCCTCAATGTGGCCAGGGGTGAGGAAGTGGGAGGAGACCATGCTGCCACTCAGTGGTGATGCCAATGGAATTTTGGGCTCAGACTTTCAGTCAGGTACCTCAAAATTGAGAGAAGCTTGAAAGGACCATGCAGGAAAAACAGGAGAAGCCACCTTCTTAATTGTAAGAGAATTATTTCTGATCAGTCCTTAAACTGTGTTATGTCCTGGGGAAGGGACAGTAAGAGTGGAAAAGTCTCCTAGGACAAGGATAGGAAGTGGTGAAAAGTCTTTTTCCTGGTAACTAGCAA